TGCTTTAAAATAAAAAACATGAAAATATATATATTTCTATTTATATTTTAGGGTGGTCCACGAAAATTGGTCCATGGACCAGTCCATAGATAGGTCCACGATGGTGGTCCATGGACCCCCGGTCCATGTTTTGTACCGACCCGTCTCTGGGAGACTATTACGATCTATTACACGCTAATTATTTGTTTCACGGGTTTATGAAAACCACTCTATAAACTGTGTAAATAACTAAACAGAGACTACTAGTTGCTAACCATTTTGTTTGTATCTCATGGTTCAAGTTTGTTTGCTCTAGTGTTATTAAACAATATTACAATCCACCTTTATTGTTTATCCTTATGTACTGCATTATATAATTTTTTTATCACACAAATTTTCACCAAATTGATTATAAAACCTGTAACTAGCTTGGTTAGATTAGAAGACAATATCTTTATGTTGTTATCTAGAGCTAGTTTAATTTTTTTTGCTTATATCAATGCAATTCTACTAAAACCAAATACAATGTTTTTGCACTKTCAGGACAGGTTGGCATATGGAGGTTGTATTCCCTCATGATAATGTTTGCCAGTTCTGAAAATCCAGGTATACAGTCTTGTGAWATAGAATTGTCACAAAGTAACTGCTCACACACATTGATGTCAGTCTCCTCAAYCTTAATAATAAAGTCTTCTGTATCTGTTATCTCGGGAAGAACATACAGCAAATCGGGACGTCCAGCAGGTGACTTATAGGTTTTCGATGGCCTGATTCTATGATTGTTCCATAGTCTAGCAACTCTTTTGAGTTCTTCCTAATAATGTCCATGTAACAGAACTTTAAGGATTCTACGTGTATTCGGGATTCTTAATATTCTTTGGCGCGAAAACGAAAGCGAGGCTAAGCACGTTCGCGGCGGCAAATTTCAACATGGCGGCAGCGGAAGGAGAGACGCGAGATCTGAGTTTATTGCCTTATTTTTCATTCACTTTTGTAGAATTTTATATAAATAAGACCTCAAAGTGTGCAGGAAGTAAAGATCTTCACAAAGGATATAAATATTTTTGCGAAAAATTCGTTCACGGGATCAAAAGTAAGCATTTTTGGTTGTTGTTTATTAAGTTTAAGCTTCCACAACAAGAGAAATATCTCGAGATTATGAAGTCTGAACACGTTTATTCATTGTAGTTTTTAAAGGAAAAGATACGATAATAGTTACAGGGAAATGCTTCCACTCTCAAAGAAGAAACGATACTCCTCTTTCTATGAAAGTAAGATCCAATTGAATGCAATTCATCGAGGCCTTACTTTTTATTACTGAAGCTTCTACAACAAATCTAGTCTTAATATTGTCATGACGCTTATGCTGCCTGCATAAATTGAAAACATTTAGGTCACAATGTCAAATCATCAATTAGCTGCYAGCAATCAGCCAGTTGACATCCTAGAAGCAAACTGTACCTGTGTTATTGGGCTCAGTGGATGCTGTGGTCATGTTACTGCACTGTTATATCAGCTAGCTTCTTATAAAATGCAAGAGGTAAGGGTTTAGCTTGCCTTTTATAGGTACTTGTAAGATAGGGAGCCCATGCCACACATTGTAAAAAAACAGATTCCAATGAAAGAAATTGAAAAAATAAATAAATAAAAGACTGAAACATTTGACTGAAAAATATGGTAGTGTTGTGATTCTGTGTGTGAAAAAAATCTTGTACGGCTATATTTACATGTAGAAGGGAATGGACCAAACTATCAACTATATATTTTAAACAGATCAACACAATACYTGTGGATATTGCAAAAACATCATTGCCCCAGACATGGCATGCTCCTCGTGGCACGTCAATCAAGGGAAATGAAGTGAATGCTATTATGGTTCATGGCTATAACTGCAAGGATCCAACTAAAGAAACAAAACCTATAAAGTCAACACTTTATAATCCAATAAGGGAAAAATTACCCCCAAATTCACTTTTACTTGAAAATATTAAGTGTGCATCATCCAACAAAGCATTGATTTTATCATGTGTATCCCCTACTAATTCAATCATTCAGACAAAGTTTGGCCCTGCCCTTAGAGGAAGTCCCATCAGTTATCAACAGAAATTACACTCCGACTATATTATAAATATATACAATGCACCTCACTTMCCTGACTTACCTGTCAATAATGTTATGTATCCTAACTATAACACGGCACTCACACAAACCCAAGCAACTCAACATTCAGGCCTTGAGGTAACCATGGAGATGGCAAAAGAACTTGAAAAGAGCACTCGACTACAAGCAACAGATCCTAAGTGGCACAAGTTACGGTATGACCGCATAACAGCTTCCAAGGCAGGGGAAATTTACAAGCGCAGAMGAAGTAAGTATCAAAAGCTGTTTTAGCTTTCATTTCATTTTCAACTGTTTTGTTTTCATCCTGCCTATTTTAGCTCTGTACAACATGTAAAAATATCATTTTTTTTTTAAATTGCTTAAAATTTAAGATTTTGAGACTCTTGTGGAAAGATATAAGACGACAAGACATTATCAAACGGAGGCCATGAAACATGGAGTACTCTGTGAGCCAAAGGCAGCTAAAGCTTATAGTGAGGTAAGGTCACTTTTATATAAACTAGCAAGAATGGCTCAGTTAATATAACACATAATTTACCTATATGAAAACATTTTATATTTAGGTCATGAATAATACAGTCAACATTCTGCCCTGTGGTATTGTAATTAACCCATGGTGTCCATGGCTTGCAGCATCACCTGACAGGAAAGTCTACAATCCTCAAAGAACAAACCCTTTCGGTCTGCTGGAGATTAAGTGCCCTGATGTTCATTCTGTTAAGGATGTTCAATACCTAGAGCAAGTATGGCTCCCAGATTTTCCATTTAAAAGAAAATCACAATTACTACTATCAAGTATTAATGCAACTGGCAGTAACTGGTCTGTCATGGTGTGAATTTTTTGTCTGGTGTGAGAAAGATAATGCATTAATTACAATTACTTTTGACCAAGGTAAATGGCAAAACCTTCAGGAGAAGCTAGATTTCTTTTATTTTGAATATTTTCTAGCTTAATAATTAAGTTTCATTAGATTATATTTCTTATATCAAAACAATTAAACTGACATCATTTTACTAGAAGAATGTTATGTAATTATTTAGTCATTCATATTACTGGTAACTGCACGAATTTTACATTCACTCTTGTCAGTACTCGAATACTTCATATTAAGTGCAATCTGATAGTCTAAGTATCTGATGTCAAATTTCTATAGTTAATCTTTATCTTCAATAAGTGGACCTAGCAAGTTGCAAAGTGCTGAGCACACAGTCCATAACTGATTAATAGAACCAGTTAATGTCAAAGGAACTACTGAATCAAAAAAGTGAAATTCTTTTATCCTCCTGATAGCTCTTTCTACGTGAATTCTAACTGCTGCTATTTGTTGAGTTTGTTGT